TCTTAGTAATGAGAAGTTTGGGATATAACGCATATAACCTTATATTTGAAATTTGAGTTAGGTTTGACTTAAACACTAAAAAAATTTGATCCAAATTTATTGGGTCATTTTGGATTATTTCGAGTTAGTTTGAGTTCATAAATTACCCGTGTTACATTCCAAATACTTTTAACTATAGGAACTAAAAGATAAAATTTATAAAATTATAGAGATCAAAAATTAATTAAACTTATTTATTTATTTTCACTCAACATACCGGTAAAAAAAAATAACATGAAAACATGCATTATATTGATTCGTAGGAAACTAATGTAACAAGTAAAACAATATATTTATGTAATATTCCTATTAATTAACGTTTACTACTAGAATTTCTCTTATTATATGCGATGTTTTCTGCGAATTTTTATGAAAAATCGCAAGAAATATTGTTCTTACAAATTTTTCTACAAAATTTTGTTTGCAAGTAATACTTTCGTGAATAATATATTTTTGCGAATTTAAAAATTCCTGCGAAAAAAAATTGCAGGAAAGTTTTCTGCAAAAAAAAATTGCAGGAAAGTTTCCTGCAAAAAAAATTTGCAGGAAATTTTCCTGCAAAAAAAAATTCGCAAGAAATTTTGCAGGAATATTTTTTACGAAAAAAATTAAAAAAATTACTATAAATTCCATTTTTAAAGAATTCATAATCTTTTATTTCCATGCCTCGAACATATGATACATAATCTTTTAAATTATAAGATTGTAGATTATAAGCCTAACTCTCGACCATATAAATCAACTTATTATAAGGTAAGTGTTGCCCCAACTTATATACTCTTTAATTATTTTATTTTCAATCGATGTGGGACTTGAAGTTTTTTTAAAATATTAAACTTATGAATTTAAATATTTTTTATTTTTCCTGCGAATTAAAATTTGTAGGAAAATTCGCAGAAAAATTACTTGCAAAATTTTTCTACCATTTAGTAAATATTTTTTACATCAATTATGCTAATTACGAATCAATGTAGAAAGTACATACTACATAACTTTTTCAAATTTTTATGTGACTTTTTAAATTGATGGTATAAAGAATCGATAAAGAAAGACTTTTTAAACTGATTGTACAAAGAATCGATATGGAAAATACTTAACGATACAATTCTTTGTACAACCATCGCAAAACTAATTTAGAAAATATTTTTTACACCGGTTAATAATAAAGTTGATTTAGAAAAATCATTATAAGATTTTTAACTTCATAGTGCATTCATAGATTATTTAATTTTTAAAGTTTCATTTTCTACTTTCAAGATGTCTTTTGAAAAGAATAATCAGACTCACACACTCTTTAACAACATTAATATTATAATAATAGTTAAATATATCAATATCTTTTATCCAATTTAGATACTTATTTGAGCATATCTTATGCTTTAGAATCTTGATTTCATAAAAAATTAGTTGTTAATTTTATCTTCTTAATTAGTATATTCTTTTTTATTTTAGGTATTTTTAATGGTTTTTTTGTTAGTTTTGAGATATAGGGAGGAATGCATATTGTCATTAAGCAACTTTATGCTCACTTAAGCATGTCATCTACTTTCCTGGAGCACCATAAAAAGTTCACTTAAATGAGTTATCTAAGTGCTTTGGTTGAACTAAAATAACAATGTCAATGAGAATATGTCGTCAAGCTCACTTAAGCAAGTCTGTGTAGAAAAAAATCCATTTAAATCATTATAAAATTAGGGCTTGCAGAATTCCTTGGACACTTCATTTTTTTTTCTTATTTCAATATTACTCAGAGATTAGAGAGGATGAGAATGATAGTCTTGTAATCAAGAATCTTTGAAAGATCCTCATTTGTATTAATATTGTGAGCAAATTTCTTAACTATTAACGATTATGTTTATTGTTGTTGGGGATTGATGTAGGTATCCTACTCGTATAACTCTTTCATATTCTTATTTAATAAGATTTTTATTTAGTTAATTATTATTATTCTATTCTTAATGCATGTTTTGGCTTAGCCATCCTCTCCATAATTCAATATGACTAATAATTGTTATTATTATTTTTGTTGGTTATATTGATAACTTAATAATTATTGAAATTAAAGAATAATTAAAAAGGATACATATGAGGAATATTAGTGAAATCAACTGACATCTTTTATTCTTTAATTTTAATATTTAATTCATTCTTATTCTTTAAACTCTACAAAATGCGTTCTTTACTCTTTTTTATTCTTTAAACAAATATTTTATAATTATTTTTCTTAAATAGTATTAAATTATATTAATAAATTGTAGAGTAAATTTCTATATATTCAATATTTAATTTTTTTTTGTCTATTTTACTATTTACAACGGTGTTCATCTTCCTTTTATATAATTAGTATGACTTCAATCAACATTAGCTTTTATGCATTTTTCGTTTCTAAATGTGTATTTTTATTAGTGTGCTTGCCGTTCATTCAAATATTAGTGTCATTAGATGCATCGTATTTGCTTATTCATGAGGTAATGTTCTTTATCTTATAATGTTTTTAAATCATAACCTAGCTTGTTATATCTCTCTTTTAGATGACATGGTGGAGTAATGCTTAGAGACCTTTAAATAGTGTGTTCAAAAGGAAAAACATTGTCATCAACCCCTCACAAAGCTTCTTCTAGTTACATGGGACGCATGCAAGAAATTTCGTTGCTGATATATACATTTTTTTTTTCAAGAGTCGTGACATTTTATGAGTTTAAGATGAAATAATTAATAGATAAAGGTCTTTAATATATTCAAGTATTCTAAAATATGCATATAGTTAATAGAAATAAACAGATAATTTTATTAAAAATAATATATTTTATTACAAAAAAGAAGTATTTCCTTAGTTATAATTAAATACATTTAAATACAAAATATTAAATGTGAATAAGCGTTTAATTTTTCCTACAAATGTTAAAGTTGTTTGGGATTGTTTTTGGGGCTCACTACGGCCGGGTCTAGGGCTATTGCCTCTGCTGAACATCAATCAGATTTAGCTAGATTTTTGTTTGATCAAATAGTTAGGAATGAAAACTCCTTTCAAGTTACCACTTATTCTCTATTTTGTACCATATATTTTTTTAATATATTTTTTTATTATAAGCCTCTCGATTGAGTTTTGTTTATTCTCATCTTTGTTAAAATTTACTTTCAAAGCATAAGTGAAAGCTTAAATAGAAATAAACGAATATTTATCGGGTGAGAGATTTATAGTAACACAAATGTAGAAAAAGAGAGAAGAAGATCAAGCTAACTTGATGGAAGGAATTGATGTAGTTATTGTATCAAATAAAGACAAAAATAATGAACAATCATTTTTTTATTTTTAATTTTTGCATTTGGCTCATGTTATACTAAATAAAAGAGAAGGTTTATATGGTTACTTCCTAATAGAAAAATTGTTAACATGTTTTTATTTAGTTTATTCGTTAACATGTTTTTAATTATTTTATTCCTCATAATAGGAAAATCATACTTTTTTTTAATATATGATATATATGTATCATATTTCAATTTCAAATCTACAAATACAAGATCAAAGATAGATATAGAAAAAATTTAGAAGACGAATCTATTTTTTTCGAGAGTAAATCTATTATACTTCACTCAATAACTTATATTCTACATCAATTTTTAACAATCCAATCGTTGAATTAAAATTTTTTAATGTATAGATCAAGTTTGTAAAGTTTTAAAAATTTTAAAATTATTTGATATTTTATTTAATTAATTCAAATTGATGAATCTACCTTCAAGAGTAGGTTTATATAAACTTACTTCAATCAATAAAATTTGAATTAATGAAATAGAGTATAAAATTGTATTTAAATTTTTTAGAAAAATTTGTAAACTTGATCTATATATTAAATAATTTTAATTTAACAGATATATAGATTGTTAAAATTTAATGTAAAACATAAGTTATTGAGTAGAGTAAATCTAAATAAATTTACTCTTGGAGTAAGTGAATCCATCTTTCTTTCTCTCTCTATATATATTATAACAATTTTTTTATTTAGAAATTTACAGTTTGATTCTTGATACTTCCACTTAGGCATGGCA